CAAACTTTGCCAAAATTGCGAAACCCCTTACCAGACTATTACAGAAAGACGCAGTATTTGACTTTGATAGCGAGTGTGTTAAGTCATTTGATACTTTAAAAAATGCTTTAACAACATCTCCTATACTGATCTACCCCAACTTTGAAGAGCCTTTTGTGCTTACAACAGACGCAAGCGCTTTTGCGATATCTGGCGTTCTTTCCCAAGGTCCCATAGGTAAAGATCTCCCTATAGCCTATGCATCTCGTACACTTTATAAAGCAGAAACGAGATATTCCACCATTGAAAGAGAACTTCTAGCTATTGTCTGGAGTGTAAAACATTTTAGACCTTATTTGTATGGTCGAAAGTTTAAACTCGTAACAGACCATAGACCCCTTACGTGGCTTTTCTCTTGCCGAGACACCGGAAGTAGATTAGCAAGATGGCGCCTCAAGCTAGAGGAGTACGACTATGAAATAGTGTACAAGCCAGGCAAGGCTAATAAAAATGCCGATGCCCTATCACGTATCAAATTACCCAAAACTGTTAACGCCCTTACCCATAGTGACGAAGAAGGAGAACCTTCTACCCAATTTTCCGAAAGTGAATTTGATATCTTTGCCCGCCTTTACAAAACCACATCCCTGATCGATTATTCCAAAATTCAATTTTCAAATTCCCAACTCCTAGACAAAAGTCATAAACATATCGTCACGTTTTTCAGACAAAACACTCTATCTGATCTTCACGAAAAAATTATCGAAGACATATTCGAGGAAAATCTTGATTTTTCTGCAGATAAAATTAACATCGCGTCTAGCAAAACAACTAAAGATAGAAAATACTATATTATTCCTGTGCCATACGATCCCGTAACTTGCATACAGCATCTTTTCTCTGTAATTTTAACCAACAAAGGTGTATTCGACCTATCCCAACAAATTTACGTTGAAAATAATTTGGACTTACCCATTTTAGAAATTTTCTCTTTTATTTTTTCGGATGATAATATCAAACTTGTCGTTTGCCAAAACGTCACCAAAACTCCTAATCCCGACGAACATCCCTTCAATATTCTTCCCTATGCTGTTCAGTGCTACAATAGCACTAGAAATAAAACTACTGGCTTTACACCATACGAGCTCGTGTTTGGCCACACCTCTGGTCGTCCGCCCGAACACGTATATTTAGAAAAAGAATTGATGTCCAAGTATGTTCGAGACATTCGGAATAAACTCGAATATTACTACAAAATTGCCCGCGTGAGAACTGATGAACAGAAGCAAAAAGCAAAAATTCGCTTTGATAGTAGAGTGTCACCCAATTTACAATCATATAAAATTGTCGATAAAGTATTTGTGAAACAGTCTCAAATTTCAAACAAACTTCAGAACAAATCTGATGGTCCATTCGAAATTACTCAAGTTTTTGAAAATTCTGCGCTCCTTAAGAACCCGGAAACAAATAGAATAAGTAAAGTTAATTTTGACAGACTGAAACTATGTTTTGAGACTTAGTTTCTCTTTCAGGTGCAGTCTGCTGTTTCTTGCGGCTGTCACAGCCCAGATAGACATCAAACCGCTTAACAACACCTTAGGTATCTATTTTCATGAAGACGCCCCTCTTAAGATTTCCAACGACATTTGGACACTCCTTGTATATAAAGACTTAGAACTCATTAAGAAAGCACTTGACGATAACAACAATATTCTGGAACACTTATCATATCTCGTAGACAAACCCACCAATCGTATGAAAATGTTTAGTGGTGAAATTAAAACTCATACAAGTCTCCTTTATCAAATTTCTCGTTCCTTGGAATCTAAATATTACGCAATCTTCGATGACACTGTAAGCGCATCGCGGATGAAACGCGGTCTGATTAACGCTATAGGTACTGTATGGAAAGCAATAACCGGCAACCTCGATTCATCGGACGGTGAATACTATAACGATTGTATTAACAAAATTTCTAAAGATGAACATGAGCTCGAAAACCTCGTGAAGAACCAAATTTCTGTTACCATGTCGGTTATCAAGAATTTTAATAACACTATTCAAAAACTTATGATTGATGAAACTACGTTTAATGAAGATATTAAAGTCATTGAAAACAAAATTTATGAAATTTCAGACGATCTTGCATTTTATGAAGCTAAATTCCAATTTTTAGAAGTTTGCGAACAATTAATGGAAAGCTACATGTTTCTGGAAGAGACAATTAATGATATTCTAAATTCAATTACTTTTGCACGTTTAAAAATAATACATCCTTCTATTATCACTCCTCAAGACTTAGTAAATTCTCTTCAAGAAATTTCTCACACTTTGTCGAGAAATAATTTACCCCTTCCGGTTAATTTAGCAACAGTGTCAGAGTACCTTAATCTTATGGAACTCGAAGCGTATCAAACTAAAACAAGAGTAGTATTCGTTCTACGCATCCCGTTATTAGAGCCCGAAATGTATACTATATACAGAGTGATTCCTCTACCCATTCTCGATAAACGTACTGGTTTGTTTCATGTAGTCTCCACTATACAGAGGTACATTGCTAAAGATAGCGATTCTCTTTTGTACGTTTCCTTTCAAAACTTAGGTAGTTGTAAAGTTCTTCAGTCTCAGGTGAAAATCTGTTTCAACCTCTTGCCGTATCCAATAGACAGTAATGCAGTCTGCGAAGCACAGTTGTTGCGAAATCCGGTCGATCTGCCGACAGCCTGCCAAATAGCAATTGTGGCATTGCAAGATTACAAAATCCAAGAACTTGCAACCAATTTTTGGCTAATCACCATATCTAGCCCTCTGCCAATTACGATGAAGTGTGGACAACGAGAGACTACCACCAAAGTAATAAAAGTTAATTCACTTTTAAAAATGCAGCCCGAATGCAGTGGCTTTGTAGGCACCACGAGATTACATTCTAGATATTCTGTTAGCACCTACAAGAATATCACATACAAAAGTCACCCTGTAGAAGTACCCTACAAATGCTGTGAACATCTCCCAGAGAAACAAAATTTACCAAAATTAAAACCGATCAAACTAAGCAAGATCGATACTGAAGAACTCGAAATTGCCAATCACAAATTAAACCAATATTCTGAACAACTGGACAAAATTATGAACGAGCCGTTTGTTTCGAGACATCTCTCATGGTTCACGTATTTTATCATCACCCTGTTAGTTATCATCGTAGCTTTGTACCTGTTCTGCAAGTGCAGAAAACGAAGACCACTCAGCATCTGCGCATCAAATTATCCAGCCGATGGCCCATCTCCAGGAGCACCAAAAGTCCGGTACATTCCCAGACTTTTTCCTCGACGTAGACCAACCATCCAGCCACATGAAGAAGACATCGAACTGCAGTGAGTGTTCCGTGAAGTGTTTTCACTGTTCAAAAAAAAAACCATTTCCAATTTTCGTGTTATCTTCCATGTAATTTTGCCCGTACGACTGTACGATTGTATCTTATGTTTGTTCCAGCTTTGCTTTTAGATGTTATTTTGCATCGCCAATGTACCGCATTTATGCTAACAATTTTATTTTTCAGAATCTATATTTTTTGATGTTATTTTGCAATTTTATTACTCCTACTTTTATATTTTTATATTTTACAATGTTTACAATTTACATTTCTACATTTTTACATTTTTGAATTTTTACATCTTTTACACTTTTCTAATTTTGTCAAAAGTTGTCGCATGGCAACAACTTTTTGTAATAGGGGGAAGTTGTTATATGCACTCAAAACAATGGACTTACTATTCCATACAATGTTGCACCAGACGCTGGCTCAGCAACAGATAACGACTTCTCGCTAACTCGTTGTTTACGCTTTATTTTCTAGAAGTGTTTTGTAAGCACACCAATAGTATAAATAGGCCTTGCGCCCATTTCATGCCGTTCATTACCCGGCTAGGCACCGTAACAGTCACTTATGTAAACTTTATGTTCAATACCCGGTTAGATTCCGTAAATGTCACATTTGTAAACCTTTGTATTTTGTATGGACTGAAGCCTCAGTCCTCAAATAAAATTTTTTAAAAAAGTTATTTCTAAATCTAATGATTTAAGATCGATATATAGCAATACTCATGCGCGGCGCACTACGCTAAGGTGTGTATTTTTCCTGAAGATTCTCAATCTAATGCTGTGTTCTTTTTCTTTGAGCGGCGCAGATCTTTAAAGACACTTTTAGGCATCTAATTATTTGTTATAGATGTTTGTAGCGCGCTCAAAGGGACTAACTTGGGCGGGACATAATCCCTTATGAACTGATGACAGCGTTGCATGAGAAGAGCAGAGTCAAAATACTTGACGCCATTTTTTATCAGTTGGCGGAAGACTAACTACCACCAGCGGAGCGTCGGTCGACTCGACACCGTTATGTAAGCGCAGACCACGCACATCACAACTTTTCGTTGGCTTCTGAGCATCAGTTTTGTACAGCATCTTCGAGTTTACCACCATTGCAAAAATTCTACGCGTCTCACTACTAGGGCTTTCATCAGATGACATTAGCTGTATCCAGGATACAAGAATGAACCTTATCAGTGGTGCGCCTTACGCCGGGAATACACTTGAGCCGAGGCAAGCCGCACACCGAACGAGGCAGCCTTGGCTCGCCAACACTGCTGCGAACAGGCTCGGTTTGCCTGATGCGGTGCGCGACCTGAGCTATCGGCTGTCGGTCCATCAAAATGAGCACCGGCCGAGCCGTGCCTCGTTCGTGCGCAGTGTGTACGGAATTTTCGATCAGCATTTGCCTCAGGGCGAATATAGAGTCTATTTTTGGTTATTTACAAATTGTGACACTAACTTCTGTGCTTAAATACCGGCACTTTTCATTGCTTCACTCCGATCTGAAAGATAAATTATTAATTTGATTTTTATTTCAATTCCCTCAGTCCTCGCGTGCAAATTCAATGAAATTAATCAAGCTTACGTAGTTTTCGTCGACATCTAATCTTCTACAAGTAAACGAAGTAATAAAACAAAAGGAAAAGAAAACCAAAATGAACCGCTCCACTCACTAAATAAGTAATCACTGAGCATGTGCTCCTGTACGGCGCGGGTATCATGTAAAAAACCTACAAACGTCAAAAAAAACCTACATAATGTCAACTTGCATACTAGATAATTTTTAGGGTGCAAACAGTCGTTCCACGTTTGCTCACCAGGATCGTTGTAAGACGATCCATCTATGAACGAATATCTGAACGATACGAGATACTTTTCTCTAATCAAATATGCATTATTGAGCATGACTGGTTGCAGTGATAGTTCTTAGTTCATAGTGTGGTTCATTAAGCTCAATGTGTACGTAGGCTTAAAATGTGAAAAACGAGTTTGGTTGAGTAGCAAGACCGCATCTGGATGATTGTATTGGTCTGCATGTGTATAAAAAAGTGATATTTGATAAGTTGAGAACATTATTACTGACTATGCTGCTAATGAAGCATATGTATTAGCTGTGCCATACGAGTTATTTGTGTTGTTCTTTCTGAAGAGAGGTTATGTTCAAAGTTATGGTTGTGTTTTCAAAAACTTTGAGAAGAACAGTGAATATAATTGCAAGGTGTGAGTATAAAATATAAGATTCCACTTAGTTAATTCTCATCTGCAGTTATTGAATTAACTCATCTTTTGTATGTTACTGAAATTAGCATTTTGTTGAACTTAAATTCTAGTATCCAACTATTGTATCAATGGAAGGAAACATTAACAGTGCATAAGGACTCCAGCACAGTTTCTGAAACTGTGGATGCCTTTTCCACTTTTCACTATTGTCTCACTTGTTATTAAAACCATATATTATGATTGTTTGAAGATTTTCTATATTCTCCTACATAACAAGGTAGACAGTACATTATTTAAATAGATTTAGCTCTAATTTTGATAGTTCTATTGAGAAAGAATGAAAATGAAACCATAACTTAGATTTGATAAACAAAAAGTAAATGGGAGCATACTGTAATTAGAAATAGATACAGCACTGGTATTTCAGTCAGATATACTAAAAATCAAATGTTATATTGTAAAAGTATTAGTACAATTAGGCCCGTATCGTCAGTCGTCCCTACAATTGTAGGGCGCCTTTATGGCCTCCTGGATTGTCATAGTTTTCTACTTCTCAATGTCAGCGCTCTATTTTGAGGTTATGTCACAAACATCTATTTGCATCAAATTGTGCTTGCTTCTGAGTTATATCATGTTTTATCAGTCTGAAATTTCCTACAATATAAAAAGAAAACATATCTTCACAATAGGAGAGCGCTGACGCTGACACGGGACAGGTGCAATCTAGAAATTTTTGAAGGAGAAAAAGGAGTATGACAATCAAACGCGCCCTACAATTGTAGGGACGACTGACGATATGGGCCTTAAATAACGATATAGTTGTAACTGCAAATTTGCTGGCTGAACATGAAATCGCTAAAATAACACCACTTTATAAATCACTCTTTAAAGCTTACATAATATTTAGATGGTCCATTTGCCGAAGAAGTAGTTATTCTATATAAAAACCTAGTTAGCAGTATAAATGTCTGTATTCGAATGAATCAAAGATCAGTGTCGAAACATATACATACATACAATCTACCATGTAGTGTAAAGAATGTACATTTATGTTGAATTTAATATCGTGATATTAACACATTGCTGTCATACAGCAGTTGCTTTCGAGGCTAGTGTTCTAAACGTAGACCTTTGTTAACTAAGTGTCAAGCATTCAAAATAGTTGATTTGAACAATATGGAATTTATTCAACAATTCATATGATAGCCTTTCATGATCACTAAATGTGATTGCATTATTGAATTTTCCAGAAATAAAACATCAGTACTGTAGGTTGCCAGGAAAGTATATGAAATGAATTCCCAAACACTAAGAAATTCCTTTAAATTTTTGTAGAATGAATGGACAAGATTTGGCAGAAAGCTCTAACATCTATAGATCGTTTGGCTTTTTTTGGTGGTTACAGACATGCACCCTTCACAAAGGAACACTCTATCAATTGAAGACATCATCAGTCAAGTTTCGCCAATATAAATATCTACCGCAAGCGAATGACTGGTAAGTTTTACATCTTCCATCTCTAATCAATTACAATGTCATTATGTGCTTAAGTTGAGAAGTAAGCAATTACTAACCGAGCCTGAGACATGTAGGGAGGGAAGAATATAATTTTTATTCATAATGTGCTTTCCAACTGTAGCTCATATATAATTGTTTCTTGCTAGTAAGATTAGTCAATTAGCCATTTGGAAGACCCAGTATCAATATTAAGTTGTTTTACCTATACTTTCTTCATAACTATAATTTTCATGCAGTTTGTTCTGTGAATTTTAAAGATGTTTGGTTTCATTTGAACTTTCATTCTCTTCTTTGCCTCAAACACAGCAATCAGTAGAGTCAAGTCGAACATGCTGAGCAGTATTTTGAAGCAAGTAAGCAGAAAGATAATATTGAATGAATGAATTAGTCGTCACCATTAAAAACATGTATGTACCACTATTTACAAAGTTTTTACTGTATTATTCAAATATTTGAACATTTGGACAGTACACTGATTATACAATAAGTTTGAAGTAAATATTAATTAATCAGATCTATTAAATCACATAAGTTAATAATATTAATTTATTCTCAAATTAAACATACTATTGAGTGACATTGGCACAAACAATCATCATCAGAACCTCTTTAAGCTTCAGTTTTTTCTGTCAATTTTTGAGCTTGCTCAAAACAGTGTTTCCAAAAGGATCAAACATTATTAGTGTGCTCAAACACTTGGAAATTGAATGCATTCTTTTTTCAAACGTTCTTGTTTCTTGTGAGACGACCAGTATTGTCTGCAACACACATTTGTCATTGTTTCTTAAATACAAACCCAGTTTGGGAATGTTTATCAACGTTTTTTACGTGTCTGTAAGATTTTTACTAATTCGTGGGAAGAACAAGTCAAAGTGGTCTGAACTTGGATGTCAAAATATAGCAAACAATTTAGCAAAGATACTCGAATTCTCGATTCACAAAATTTCAAGGTAAAAATGAACTGTAATTTATATTTTTTATCTGCTCACTATATGCGTTTTAGCTCAATAATTACTTCAATACCATATAATATACCATAATCTATAAGTGATCTGATTGGAAGAACTACTTTGGGATAGGTTTTAACCTTTTGAATTATTTAGTTGGGTGGAAAATGATTCTCCCTATGAATGTGCTTATCCTCGTACATTGAATATTTCTTTATGGCTAATATGTATTTATTGCTGCAGGCCCTCAGCTCTGTATTTTTCTCAATCAGATACTGTTTTAAGATGTCGACCCCAGTAATCATTCGGGTATCTTCGGCAAATTGTTTGCAACATTTTGTCTGCCAACTTCACATCCATCCAAGCCAATCTATTTGACTTCATTCTTAACTGATATATTACATTTGATTTTAGGTTTCCTCAAGACCTGCGCTTAGAATATTACATCACAGAGATGTATGCAAAGAGTTGCAATCGACTCCAACTGCCAGGAAGTTATATGGAATAGATCATTGCCACTCTAGGAGTAATTCTAGAGTACAGCTAAAGTATGGTACCTCAATAACAGCCAAATCATCATAAACTCTTGGCACCATTCATAAGAAGCACGCTACCATAACTGTACGAGATTGTATGTGGCACTAAGTTGGTTCAAGACATTATTAGCGGATTCTAGCGATACAGTTAATTTTTTTACCTGACAATTTTGTCACGTTTTCCTCTTGCTTACTTCTAACTATATACAAAATTCATTCACATAAGACCATTTCCAATGGGCGCCCTTTTTTGCCAGAAAGAATGCTCAAAAACCATGTCTACAAAATTGAAAAATGTTTAGTTGCTAAACGTTTTTCCCGGAAGGTCATTTTCTGTTTTGGGGAACATGAAGTTGTTAATGTTTTGACAGTCTATGCCATTAAATAGGGAGATTATGTATAAGGAAATCTTACAGTTTGGGCGACGGTAACTTTTTAGTGATATCGTTACACTATTGCTTTCCTAATGACAAGTTGAAATTGGCATCATGACAGGGCTGGAGTACTTGCCGTCATTTTGATAAACTCGTTTAATTGAAAATATCGAAGACAATCGATCCTATGTAAAAAGGTAATATAGAAACGATTTTGGGGCTAATTAAATGGTCCACCATTTTGATTTTATAAAAACGTGTATTGGTGAACAGGTTACAAGATAATTACGGGTAAAAGTACATGTAATGATATTCTCTGTTATAATGGCTAAACTAAGAACCCAACTGGTACGTTTTGTAAAGAAAAAAAATTGGTACAAAAAAGATCACTTACGTTTTTTCGACATTTTGGTGGTTCTTGAAGCGTAAGGAGGAAATTTTGAAAATTCGTATCAAAGCAGTCGCACGAGATAGTCCTGGCGCTACATATGTACGTGGTCCACTTAATCGGCATGTAACATTATTTCGCATGAAATGGCTGCGTAATCATTACTCATGACCAAGAATACTACCACGTGCAAGCATGGAAAATTAATATTTTTTGATAATTTCTGATTTTTTTCATTATGAAGATCAAGTCACTCACTTCCATCAGTCGGTGTGTTGGCGATTTTGTCACTGACTAATTTCACCGATTTTAATGGAAAAGGAGATGTAGTAGACAATACTAGTTTATTGCATTACACCCTTCCCACTAAAATCGTTGCAACGGTTGCTGGTGTACCCCCCCCCCCCCAGGTGAAAACATGTATACTGACACGTGGGCAACGTGCGTTCAGTGCTGAGTATGCCGCGCGACAATTTATTATAAATTCTTGACTTTTACTCCATACACTTGAAGAATCACTTATTTCTCTACATAAATGGATAAGAGTCTTTTAAGCGCTTGAGATGTTAGTTTAACCATTATAAACGAAAATGACCTGGAATGTAACTTTACCCTTAATTTCTGTACATTTACCTAATCTTGACATATTCACTGTATGACAACGTTTATAAAAGAAAAGTGATGAATTTAATTCCCTACAAACGCGTTTTTTAAATGAAACACTCCAACCAATTTGAACTTATCATTGTTGTCATCAAATTGTAGGAAAAATTTCATAGCCTACACCTCACTTTCTAATAGCCACAAAAAATAATTTGGCATCCATACACTTATGTTAGATAATAAAATTGCATCATTGCACCATGTAATATCAATTCTGTATAGTTATCTGTTTACACATTTTTTTGAATCCATTTTCTATAATTTTACATTCTTGTCTATTAAAATTACATCACTATACATTTTGAGTACTCATAGATTGGTTGTTCACCTTGAACATTTTTAAATTCGAAAACTGTTTAATATAATAATTATTCAATTGATTAAATTCGAAAACTGTTTAATATCATTATTCAATTTATTAAATTCAAATACTGCCTTTTGAAATACAGATCTGCTAGTTATGCTACTATTACAGTCTTGCAGATAAAAACCTATACTGCCTCTATTTTCGTAGTTGTGATAATAACTATTTAATTTTGTGAAGTTTTTTAAATGTAGTGGTAATAAATGGTTATTCAATTTGAACATGAAAACTAAATAGCATATGAAATTTTTTACATTCAACCCCTGTAGTTCTTCTAACATAGACTAAATCCTAGCATATTTGTTTTTATTTAAAATGATTCCCATAGCTTTATGTTGTAAAATTTGTAATTCTGAAAATATGTTTTCATTTGCTGTGAACAAAATAGTTGAACAATATAAAATATGTGGAAGAATGATCGTGTTATACACTTTTTTTTGTATACGTACTAAGATTATGGGAAACTCTATAGAAGTAATTTATCTTTTTTGATATTTTTGAAACAATGTATACATATTGCTCGTGAAACAGTAGTTTATTATCCACATACCTATATACCCAGATATTTAAATGATTGATTTTATTGATAGAAAGAAGAATGTGAGTTTATTATATATTAGGAAGTCTTATGAGAAATTCTATAGAATAAATAAAATGTATTCTATTAATGCTGTTGTTTTCTTATTTTTAAGCTGCCATAAATATGTATTTTTATGTGAACTGTTTTATAGTTTTCTTCACAATTCCTTTTATCTTGCCAGCTGCTTGATCAATCTTTTCTGGTACATGACACATTTTAGTAACTCCCTGTTTCATGGAATTTATTTACGCCGAACTATGCACACAGGCACCTGCTACTATGAGAATCACAAAGACATTTTCCTAATCCGATTTTTGAACTGCCTAAGGTTAGTACAACTGGGAAAAGCTTCTTCTTGTAGATTGTTCCACAATCTCGACACCATCGGGACTAAGGAGCAGTCGTATCGGTACAGAGGTATTCCTTAACGCGTGTACAATCACTTGGACGGACAGAAGTTATATACTGAATTCAACATCTTCCGGTACAAGCATTTGCCACGGCCTCGCTCAATAGGGGAGTATTGGAGGGTGTTGCCGCTTTTCCAAATAATTTCAAACCACCAGTCAACAGAGAGGATCCACTTGTCAAATATATTAAATAAAATGCTGGTTAAATTCTTTTATACTACAATATTTCATAATAATTGTTTTCAGTATATCTAGATTAACCATTCTGTAAATCTTCATTTCTGACAATTCTTCCAATAACTATTTTTATTTTGGAAGCTGTATTAATTAATAACACATATCCCTATCATCAATATGTAGATGTTCGTGTATTTGATGATGAATGATTCTTATGTATTTTCCACGAAAAAAATGTCTAATAAAATCATTTTTGTCCTTTATCAGCACATGCAATCTTCTATTTGAAAAACAAACTTCGATTTCTATCCAACACTTTTCACTCAAATCCATCAGCAAAGTTTAAGGATATCAAAAACGCAATACATCAATTAAGTCAAATATGACCTTACAGGTCATTTTTGGCTGCATATTCGTGTAGTTTACATAGATTGCATATACGGTATATGTACTTATAACATTTCCCAACAATTTTGTGGTAGGTTACAAGTTTGTAACATAACATTAATGGGATATTCTCATGCATAGGGAATCATATTTTTAGCAGGAGCTCCCTCACACTTCCCAGATATGTTATTGATGTTCTTGAAATGTTAGATGCACATTATGGGAATGATAAATGATTCAAAAAGTAATCATTTTATTTTAAAAAATAAATTAAAAGTAGAAAGCGTACAAATTACATTATTTGATTTAGAAAATTTTCGATTGCTGCCAACAGATCCGTTTCATACGTAATTGACTACGTTTTTACAAAAAAATTATACAACTTGTCGACCTTCATGAATAAGCGACCTGTGACAGTTGATAAATTCTCGCGCCCTCTCGAAACAAAAAATCGAAAATCGACGCAGTTGGTATCTCTAAAGCCAGCTCTCAACCCATAAAAATGGAACGGGCTTTGGCGTTACCCATCTATATTGGTATTTTCTTTCATTCATTTGCCTGTGGACGTTCCTGAAGGCATCAAAGCAGTAGTCTAATTAATAATGCATTTTAGATTTAAAAGTTAATGAGTCTCTTTTAATGTAATGACTGAACATTTTTTAAGTTAGCTTCAAGAGCTGCCTAATTACACATATTGGAATAAAAACACCAGGTGTAAGTACTTATAAACATGAGTATATATACTCATATATAAGTAATAGGTATACATATATTTTTATAATCTAAAATGTAGGTAACTCTTTATAACTACAAATGGAGCTCCTTATTTTTTTGACCTCTCCTTGGCTCTTACTAACCATCGCTTAATGATGCTAATGCTTCCCTACTCCAACTTGAAGGAATATGGTCGGCGTCTAAAAACATAGAGTTATTGGTAAATAATTGACACACATTTAGGGTTGCCAGGTTTAAATTTGAAAATTGCAGAATGTCGATTTCCAAGGGGAGGAGCAGAATATGAGGGACATTTTTTATTAGACTAATGCACATTCATATACAAAAGGAGTTATTTTTTGACAATGCATACAACAGAAGATCAGCGATTTTTTATCAGACTCAACAGTTTCCGACCACTGTTTATTTTCCATACATTTTTTTGCACCCTTAGTTTTAATGTGTAGCTCTGCTTTGATATGGTCGATCAAGATGAAAATTTCAGCTGTCACATCAGAAGTTGCAACATGAAGGAAAAATAGTTTTGTCATCTAGTGAGTAGCCGAACCGAATTAAAAACGTTAAGATCAATTTGTAATTTCAATATTTTTTTTTATGAAAGTGACTACGCCTAAATTCCTGCCTCAAATTCAGAACTTCCAATACAATCCAGGTTACCTGGTAACCCTACGTACAATATAGTTGTAGAAGCTGTAAAATGAAAATTGTTAATACCTATGTACCTAATGCACATCTGGCTAGGAGTAGTTTTTTGGATTGCAGCTATTGTTTATGACCATCCCAAGAATAACTCATTGCTAATCCTCCTGAATCCTGACACATAATAAGAGAAAACCAATTTCAAATATTAATTTTAAAAACTTTTTGTACACACTTATTTACTATATTTCATACAAGATATTAGCAATTTAAATTTAGAACTAGTACATTGTAATTACTTTTCAATCTAGCCATTCTTCTTCAAAACTTTCAAATTTTTCCTTGGAAGACAGTGGCAGTGAATTGTTGATTTCCTTATATTGGTTTAAACTAGTGCTAACTGTATAGAGAATTCATTGCCATATTAGGATTTTAGAAGTTATTCATCGTGATATATCAATCTTGATGTGGTTGAATCTTTGTGTTTGATACTACAAAATCGTATCTCCATCTTCCTGATATGTTTGGAGAAAATCCTGAGCTATTAAACAATGACAAAAAGTTGATTTATTGAAAGTTTTTTTTTCTCTATGGCTGTTAATCTATGGTGGATTGTGATAACAACCTCAATATTTCGTCCCCTATCAAGCTTTGTTTTTTTGCAGATTGTATAATTGAATGGTACAAATTGGTACAAAGTTCCACAAAAAGAATGAATCATTTTTATGTCAGGGACATTATCAGACTGCCTAAGTGACTATATTTGAGATATGGCTGCCCAGATTCTTAAAGTAGCTAATAAAATCCTAGCACTCTATTGGCCTCAAATTTAGTGCTCTGATTACCTGATTTAGGTGGCATTAATTGGTACAGCAAATGTGATTGACTATATATTTCCTTTGAATGTGCTAGGGGTGTACAGTGTTTCTAATGACTGTATTAGCACTACAACAGATAAAACACCGTAACCCTGGTACTAATGGGGCTTGAGGTTTGATATCTAGTTCATTCTTCATAACTTACAGACACAGACCATTTACATGTAATATTATAAGCAATCACAGTAAATCTATATAGAAAGTATGAAGATCACTCTAAAAAATGAATCATTCATCTGAGGCAATTCATTTGAAATAACTTCAGACAATTATCTTAAAAAGTCTTTACCTGAAATGCAGAGAAAACTGTGCATTTTACATCAGATTCCAAAGTCTCTGTGGCACTGATATCATATTTTGAATTCTTTCTAATTATTTTCCTTTGATATATATCTCCATGTGCAGATTAGGTATCTGGTTGTTTTGGCATTCTCCGCTTTTATTTTGGCAATATTAAAATCTCCTGAAAAAAAAATAGTTCAGTTGCAGCAAATATCGAAATTTCCAAATTGTTACAATCCTAAATACTACTGAAGATGTGATTGCTAAGCATTGCCACCCAATGAACATACTTTATATATTTCCCAGTATATTCATCAGGATCAACCTAATCATCTATCAACTTCAACGATTTCATTCCTCTACCAACATTCTACTACATCTTCTTTTATCAAGACAATAATTACTCAAATCACCATTTTCTTTGACCTTCATTTTCAACCCTACAACCAGAACATATACTATAATGCTTCAAGTAAAAATGAAAATTACTCTTATTCATTCATCTCAAGACGACCATCTTTGGACGCTCTTTGTTTTACAGTCAAATAATCCACGTTCAGCACAAAATTAGCAGATAAATTAAAAGTGAAACAGATTCTTTCAACGTTGGCATGAAATTAGTTTATAAAATACTTTGTGATTATAGTTTACACTCGATATGTTTTTGTAATTATTTCGCGTAACATCTCAATAACGTAGTGCTGAAACATGATTTCTCATAATGTAAATATCTACCTACGTCAAAAGCTTTATATTAAAAATACTCATACACTTTTAATTCCAAGAAAAATAAGATGAATGTGATGAACAATTTATTATAGTGGAGAAAATATTTCGACAAAAATGAATTTACACATTCAACAGGTTCTGTTGCAATGACTTAATTTAAGTGTAGGTATTACTCATAAGCCATATGCTTCCAAAATTACTCATTTTGATAATTTTGTGGTATACCAACATAAAGGAGTCTGCAAGTATGGAACAAATAAAGAACCAATAACTTTTGAAATTGTTTCGTTTTATACTGTGAGGAATTACATCCTGGTACAATAGGTTCACCATTGTGTTAAAATACAGTAAATCCTCTTCTACAACTTGTGTAGGTGAATAACCCTGTACGGCGATTGATACCAAAGATATTTGATTCATTAGTAGCATCACATATGTCGAAAAACATTACATTTACCATTCAAAATGAATCCATAATGGTGTAATTCTTGCACTAAATCATATGAAGCCCTTTTGGCTTTCACTGTACGAACTCAAACACAAATCATAAAAAACAGAAGCATTATTACAAATTATATTATTATTTACTCTTATAAAACTTATTATTACTTGAAGAAAAGATCACGGAGCCATTGTACGACAGGCTTAAAGATCCTGATATTAGTGACAGATAACACGTTATGACAGCTGCCAGTCAGCTAAGTAAAAAATTTCAAATTTATTTCCTTTTAATATTGTCCTGTAAGAGGACAATGGCATTAAATCATGACACAATTATTACATGTATTTTAAAAAATAAGTAAATTCACTTACCTTAAGAACAACATCAAATAATAAATAGGAGTGAGTCATCACAGATCAAACATTTGTATTTTCTATTGACATCGCAAAATAAGTTTTTATAAAACTTAAACGACTGGAAATAATGTAATAACCTTTACACTTTCATAAATATTCCTGTCTGTAGAGTATCTTCTCACCTGTTACTTCACCAACCCGCGATTTTTCTGTTCTTATCTCCCACAGTTTTTGAACTTCAGGAAACTTGCATAATATAATTTCCAGGTTGGATAATAAAAAGTGGATGCGCGACTAATTTCGACTTTTGAATACATCTGAAGTAAGTCTATTTGATACAAGAAACCAATGGAATTACCATTAACACATATTATTAGCACGCACATCCTCACTATATACCTATGCACTGCCTTTTCCTTCCAAATGTAGTCTATAGCATAAAAGTTACAGCTTAGATCTAGAATATAATGCCATCTCATTTCGTTTCGCGGCAAATCACATCGCAGCGCGCCGAGGCTGCCTCGTTCGGTGCGCAGCTTGCCTCGGCTCAAGTGTATTCCCGGCGTTATGTGTCTATTCGTTTTCAGATCTTTGTCAAGCCACATACTCAGATTAATAGCATTTTGGCTTTGAACCTCGCCATTCTTAATCTTCACGACTAGTGAAGTTAGCTTCAAAAAATTAGCCGAGATAAAATGATATGCCATGGCGTCGCCTGTGAGAATTTATCACAGCTATATCTCTCCTCTTCGCAATACTTAGAAATCTACTTTGAAAAGGTTATTGTATCACCGATGTGCTCTATGGCATTCCTTCTTAATTGAGGTACAGTACTTACTGTATTAGAAACATAAAGATCCATTGAATCATTATGACTCCAGGCAGTGATAACCTCTAGATGCTTCGTTTTCGTTGGAGGGGAACTGGCTACAAGTATTCCTTCTCCAGCTATAGGGCAAAAAGTCAATTTGGACAAAGAAGTCCGCATAGATAATCTGAAAAAAAGGATACGTGAATTTAAAGAAGAAACCGAGGATAATGAGAAATATGTTGATGAAATGAAAAAATAAAAAGAAATTATATCTAAGCTGTACGTCGAGTTGGATAAATTGAGAAAAAGGAATGACGAACTGCAAAATAAAATAGCAATGTATCCTCAAGATATCTAAAACTTGTATAAAAATATTGATGAATTTATGAGTATTAACAGAAATATGGTCAGTACTATTAGTTTTTTTGGAGGAAGAGATAGAGTTATATGCTACTGAAATAAGAAGCGCCGAAGAGTCAACCAAATCTGGAGATCCAAATGATAATGATAGTCTGAATGGAATCCAGAATGTAGACGACATGGTGCGGCCACAAGAGAACGAAAAAGCAGAAGAGTTGGCATTGTTAGCCGGATCGCCACAGTGGCCGCTGGTACTGCAGTAGATACATTCTAGTTGCCACTCCCATCAAACGAACCAGTGATATAGTTTTCGTTGGTCCGACCATAGACGGCCAAACAGAGGCAGCTGTTCCGTGCTATTTGGCAACTTTTCGGCATGGTCTAGACTTGATCTCATTAGGACAACGAACGAAATCTGGACACCAACCCTTTATTGTGTTCCAACAGACAGCTTGCTGTTTTCACACTTGCAGTGGTCGATGCTAGTAGTGATGTCACTTTGTGTTATCTAATTTCGAGAAACCACATATGTTTGAATTTCCTTTTTACTTACGTTTCGGCAACCACCGTAGCCTGTTTCAAAGTAAGAGCAGTAACTTTCGACGGCCTTACTGTAACTAACTCAGCGGAACCACTCCTCCGCTTCCCGTTACCAAAGCACTACCAAAGTGGCTAATTGTACAACAGCATGGAGGTCGGATCGCAGAGACTAAACAAGGATTTGATCACGTTCACTTACGGAGCACAGGAAAACGCCCTCATTAATAGTCGGAGCGTAAGAATACGTCAACGCTCGGTAGTTTGTTCATGGGTTAACGAACCTGTGCATGCAGCTAATTGATGATCAAACTCTAAAGCGACAGCAAGTACACCGAGCTACTAATGTATGTTTAGTCTACTTTTTTATATAACTCGTACAGTAAGTA